CTGATATAGGATATAACGGCTGGTTGCTGTTTTCACTGCAGGAAGTTACTGACCACAGCCTCTTTGGTTTGGACCGCTACACAGGACAGATCCGAACACTTCGCTCATTCACAGAGACAGATGAAGCTGAACATAAATTGGTCGTACTGGTCAAAGACAACGGCAACGTTTCTCTCTCAGCAACAGCTACAGTGACTATTAAACTTGTGGAGCCAAAAGAAGCCTTTGCAGCTTCTGATGTCAAAAGTGCAACAAGAGATGATGAAGATAATGATATGACATTATACCTGATGATCACACTGGGTGGAGTTTCAGTTTTGTTTATCATCAGTATAATAGTGTTGATTGCAATGCAATTCTCCAAGTCTACTGACTATACTTCAAAATATCTCCAAGAGACTAATTATGATGGGACACTGTGTCACAGCATCCAGTACAGATCAGGAGACAAACGATACATGTTGGTTGGACCCAGGATGAGTATAGGATCTACTATAGTACCAGGAAGTCATGCAAATACACTTGTGCTACCTGACAGGAGAACATCTGAAGGGGTAAGCAATGCACTTAGGTATTTTCGGTTATATAATTTCTTACAGCCATTTTTCAATGCATTTTTTACTTTGGCACCACATAGTTTTAGACATGCTCTTATGATTTTTATGTTGATCTGACTTAAATTGTCTCTGGTGCGCGGTTTTTTGTGTGTATGGGCAAACTTTAATTTGAAAATATTACTTGAGTTGCTAAAAAACATTCAGGAAACTATTCAAGCAAAGTTGTTACATAGCCTAAAATAAACATCATTGGGAAGCAAATATATATATATATATATATATATATATATATATATATATATATATATTGTATTTTAATCTACTATACTTAAACAAGTTTGATTTATAAAAACAATAACTCTGGAGCTGTTTTTATATTTTTTCATCAGTTTTTGACGAAATGACTGCAGTATCTTGGAAACAATTATTACTTGCTTTTTCCTAATACCTAAAAGCTGTATTTTTTCGTACTTCCATGTTTTGTAAAAGACCCACATATTCTTAGTTTTAGGTTAGCTTATATATTATGTTTAATAATTCCAGCTAAACAGAAAGGATATATATATATATATATATATATATATATATATATATATATATATATATATATATATATATATATATATATATATATATATATATATATATATATATATATATATATATATATATATATATATATATATATATATATATATATATATATATATATATATATATATATATATGTATACAGATATATAGACATATATATCTATGTTTTTATCCTTTTTCTCACACTCGTTGAAAGGAAAGTGTCATTTTATAAACAATGTTGACATTTGAACCTATAAGGAGATTCTAAAAGCCCGTGTTATCATCTTATGTCGCATGGTGTCAGTATAATAGAATAGAAAATATCATGCTCGCTTTTGCTTCGGAGAATTTTGATTCAGCCTCTCCAAGTCGTCACCATACGGATGCTACTGCGGTTGTTCCTGAGGTCACTGCTGCTGTTTGTTGGATTAATTTTCAGGCTCCAAGTGGATCTTATTAAGTGTTTATTATGTGGATATTATTTTACTGATCACTGCAAACCGACTCTGCGAATTTCAGTGATTACGGATGCATTTTGGATTAACAATGGAACAAAGAAAACGGGAGCTCCAAATGGGAAGAAGACATATGACGAGATGTATGGTTATTGTACTTTTATTGAGTCTAACATCGGCACAGCTAAGATATTCTATCCCCGAGGAGGTTAACGAAGGGACTTTGGTTGGGAATTTAGTAAAAGATTTGGGATTAGATAAAGGCAACCTGAAGAACAGAAAGTATCGTGTTGTGTCTGGAGGTGCGGATCCCCGTTTCCACTTTAACGAAAACGATGGTGGTCTTTACGTGAAGCGAAAGATTGATAGAGAGGAGGTTTGCGCACAAAGCATCGTGTGTTTAATAAATGTAAAGACTGTGTTGGAAAACCCTCTTGAGATTCACAACATTGGGGTTGAGATTTTAGACATAAATGACCACTCGCCTATTTTCTCCGAAGCAGAAAAAATCCTAGAGATCTCAGAGTCTGCGCTCCCCGGAGCAAAATTTCAGCTGAAACCTGCACGGGATCTGGACAGCGGTCAGTTTTCGATTCAACAATATAAACTTAGCCAAAATGATCATTTTCGTTTGGAAGTGAGAGATAAAGAAGATGATGGGAAAATACCAATACTTATTTTACAAAAATCCCTGGATAGAGAAGCAGCAGGAAGCCACACCTTACTGCTGACGGCACTGGATGGGGGAAAGCCATCAAAATCCGGGGATATGAAAATTTATATAAATGTTCTGGACATAAATGATAACCCGCCAATTTTCGCAATGAATGTTTACTCGGTTACTCTTACTGAAAATGCTCCATTCGGGACCACAGTCATAAAGATAAATGCGACTGATCTGGATGACGGTCAGAATGGAGAGGTAGTTTTTTCATTTGGTAACAGTGTAAGTAGTAATATTTTTGATATTTTTGAAATCAACAAATCTACGGGAGAGATAATTGTTAAAGGACTTATAGATTATGAGAAAAAAGATAAATATGAAATTGAAATTCAAGCATCTGATAAAGGTCCCGCTCCACTAACAGCGGAAAAAAACGTCATAATTAAAATAATTGACGTAAACGATAATTCACCTGAGATTGAGATAACTTCATTTTCCAGTTCAGTTCCTGAAGATTCTCGTGTTGGAACCACAGTAGCTCTTATTAGTGTCAATGACTTAGACTCTGGTGCTAATGGAAAAGTAACCTGCTCAATTGGTGAGGGTGCTCCGTTTTCGTTATTACCATCTTTGCAAGATAATATGTTTTCACTTGTAACTAAATCAAGTTTGGACAGAGAAAACACTTCATATTATGATTTGACAATAATTGTTAAAGATGCAGGTCATCCTTCTTTATCATCGATAAAAAGAGTGAACATTGTGGTATCAGATGTAAATGACAACAGTCCAGAGTTTTTATTGACCCCATATACTTTCTATATCAATGAGCACAATGAACCAGGGGCCAAAGTGTTTTCCATCAAAGCATTTGACAGGGATGAGAACAGCAATTCTTTTATTTCATATCATATTGTCAGGGATGGACATGGAGATAAGTTAATTTCTTTTCTCAGTATAAACTCTGAAACTGGAGACATTGTGGCACTGAAAAGTTTTGACTTTGAAACCCTGAAAGCTTTCCAGTTTCAAGTTATTGCTGTTGATTCTGGGACTCCACAACTGAGCAGCAATGTCACAGTGAATGTGTTCATTCTGGATCAGAACGACAACCCTCCTGTCATTCTGTATCCAGTCAGCTCCAACGGTTCTGCTGAAGGTGTGGAGGAGATTCCCCGCAATGTGAACGCAGGACACTTGGTGACTAAAGTCAGAGCCTATGATGCTGATATAGGATATAACGGCTGGTTGCTGTTTTCACTGCAGGAAGTTACTGACCACAGCCTCTTTGGTTTGGACCGCTACACAGGACAGATCCGAACACTTCGCTCATTCACAGAGACAGATGAAGCGGAACATAAACTGGTCATACTGGTAAAAGACAATGGCAATGTTTCTCTCTCAGCAACAGCTACAGTGATTGTTAAACTTGTGGAACCCAAAGAGGCTTTTGCTTCTTTTGATGTCAAAAGTGCAGCAAAGGAAGATGAAGATAATAATGTGATTTTTTACCTGATGATCACACTGGGTGGAGTTTCAGTTTTATTTGTCATCAGTATCATCGTTCTGATTATAATGCAGTGCTCCAAATCCACAGACTATACTTCTAAATATCTCCAAGAGACTAATTATGATGGGACACTGTGTCACAGCATCCAGTACAGATCAGGAGACAAACGATACATGTTGGTTGGACCCAGGATGAGTATAGGATCTACTATAGTACCAGGAAGTCATGCAAATACACTTGTGCTTCCTGACAGGAGAAGAACATCTGAAGAGGTAAGATTATGTTTAAACTGTTTGATGAGACCACTATGACCTTAAAAAAGTAATATGTTTGGAGTAGTAAATCTGCCTGTACACAAGACGAGCAGAAGCCATTGTAATTTTTGATTCCCCACACCATATTAGAATGCTACAATTTATTACCATTCAACTCCATGTCTATTTTTTCAACAGTTTTGGATTATGTTGCATTACATTTTCTTTAGTTTTTATTTTTTTTGGGGTATATTTAGGTTTTGTTATCATCTCAAAAGGACCTTCTGCCTTAAAACCTTTCAAGGAAGGTAATAATTAATGTTTAAACTTAATGGTAAAATAAATCATCTCACATTTTTATACTTTGTAGTGTCCTTTCAACAGCTATATATGTTTTGGTAATATTTAGATCAGTTAATTGTGAAATGGTGAGTCTCTGAAAACCCTTAAGCTTATTGCTGTCCATGGATCCTGAATTTAAAGTCTGTGATGCAGGTAAAATGGCATCATGTTAACTACAAAATAGTGATCCAGTTTCACAAAACAGTGCTTCTTTGCCTCAAGTGATTGACTTTCATTGTGCACTATCCCATAGCATCTTATAAAGACTTTGTCTATAAGCTGTATATTTTAGCTGAAGCAAAGCTAAATATGATTTCTAGGATCATACACAACAAACTAAAATAACTAGAATATCAAAACAACTTGTAAAAAATAGTGTAAATATTTTATTATTATATAGTAAAAAAAAATGAATTCATAACTGAGCCTAGAATGTTTTGATACATTTTAAACACTTTGAGGAGTTGCCATTCTCTTTTTCATTTTGCATATGTTTTAAGAGTTTAGACTATTTAGAGACTAAAAACTTAAACAAAGAAAAATAATATATTGGTACTGCAACAGCAGCTCGCATGGGGGCGCTGCTTGTGCAATTTTACCCGGGTGGAACTCCAATTTAATATTTTGGAGCTTTTGCGGAAGGGTAAGCCTGTGCTTTAGGGCGATGGCCAGAGATCCGACATGGTAAATCAGTTCATTGATTCATATTTTTTTCTAAAAATGCATCTTACTGTTTTTGGTATAAACTCGTGTTTAAGAGGTAGATTTTGTATCCTTTTTGTTTTGATTTGTTTTTAATTCTTTTTTTTTTTTTTTTTTTCAAATTCGCCATGGCACAAAGAGGATGCAATGCGTGGTTTGAGCATCGGCTAATTTTTATTTTTTGTTTGGGTTTCACTTTTGATTTTTCTTCGGGGCAGCTCAGATACTCGTTACCAGAAGAAATAACAACGGGTGCTGTTGTTGGAAATATTGCTAAAGATCTGGGGATGGAGCCAAGTGTTTTAAAGGCCAGAGATTTTCGCATTGTCTCTGGATCGAGTGATTCGCTTTTCCAGCTTAACAATAACGGAGTCCTTCTCGTCAACCAAAAAATAGACCGAGAGGAGGTGTGCAACCGGATCGCCACCTGTATTATCAACATAAAGACTGTGTTGGAGGATCCCTTAGAGGTACATTATGTCACAATCGAGGTATTAGACGTCAACGACCATTCTCCCACATTCCCCGTTAATGAAACACATTTAGATATATCAGAATCGACCTTATCCGGGGCTCGGTTCCAGCTGCAAGGTGCACGCGATCCAGATAGTGGTTTGTTCTCTGTTCAACAGTACAGGCTTAGTCAAAATGATCATTTTCGTTTAGAGGTTAAAGATAGGGGACAGGATGGTAAAATTCCTGTTTTGTTTATCCATAAACCGCTGGACAGAGAAGCTATAAGAAGCCATAGATTGTTGCTGACAGCTGTTGATGGAGGAAAACCTGCCCGATCAGGAACGATGGGAATAGTTATAAATGTTTTAGATGTAAACGACAACATGCCAGTATTTGCTAGGGAATCATATACTGCGGAGCTTAATGAAAGTTCACCTGCTGGAACAACAGTAATACAGGTAAATGCCACTGATAAAGATGAGGGTCTAAATGGAGAAGTAGTTTATTCTTTTGGAAATAATGTAAATGATGAATTACGTGAACTATTTGAAATTGATTCAGTTACAGGAGCTATTATTGTCAAAGGACTCATTGATTATGAAGCAAAGGATAGATATGAAATTGATGTCACTGCATCTGATAAAGGATCAGTCCCCCTGTCCACTGAAAAAAGTGTCATAATAGCTGTTTTAGACCAGAATGATAATGCACCTGAAATAGAAGTGACATCCTTATCAAGTGCAATACCTGAAGACTCCAAACCTGGAAGGACAGTAGCTCTGATAAGTGTTAGTGATGAGGATTCAGGTATCAATGGGAAGGTCATATGTTCGATGACCGATGATGTACCTTTTACATTAACACATTCCCTACAAGAAAACATGTTTTCAATTGTTACAAAATCTCTGCTTGATAGAGAACTTAAGTCAAAATATGAAGTAACAATATTTGCAAGAGATGCTGGTGAACCACCTCTGACAGCTCAAAAGACAATAAGTGTAACAATATCTGATGTGAATGACAACAGTCCAGAGTTTTCAACAAGCCCATATACTTTTTATGTTAGTGAAAATAATGCTGCTGGAGCCCTGTTATTTTCAGTGACTGCTGTTGATTATGATGAGGGGGACAATGCCCTCATATCATATACTATACAAAGAAGGGGCGGTGAACACAACAAGATGATATCATTTCTCAGTATAAACTCTGAAACTGGAGACATTGTGGCATTGAAAAGCTTTGACTTCGAAACCTTGAAAACGTTCCAGTTTCATGTTATTGCATCTGATTCTGGGACTCCATCACTGAGCAGCAATGTTACAGTAAATGTTTTCATTCTGGATCAGAATGACAACCCTCCTGTCATCCTGTATCCAGTCAGCTCCAACGGTTCTGCTGAAGGTGTAGAGGAGATTCCCCGAAATGTGAACGCAGGACACTTGGTGACTAAAGTCAGAGCCTATGATGCTGATATAGGTTATAACGGTTGGCTGCTGTTTTCACTGCAAGAAGTTACTGACCACAGTCTGTTTGGTTTGGACCGCTACACAGGACAGATCCGAACACTTCGCTCATTCACAGAAACAGATGAAGCTGAACATAAACTGGTCACACTGGTCAAAGACAATGGCAACGTTTCCCTCTCAGCAACAGCTACAGTGATTGTGAAACTTGTGGAGCCAAAAGAGGCTTTTGCCTCTTTTGATGTGAAAAGCACAGCAAAGGACAATGAAGATAATGATGTGACATTTTATCTGATGATCACCCTGGGTGGAGTTTCAGTGTTATTTATCATCACTATAATTGTTCTTATTACAATGCATTTTACCAAATCTACAGACTCTACTTCTAAATATCTTCAAGAGACTAACTATGATGGGACACTGTGTCACAGCATTCAGTACAGATCAGGAGACAAACGATACATGTTGGTTGGACCCAGGATGAGCATAGGATCCACTATAGTACCTGGAAGTCATGCAAACACACTGGTCCTACCTGACAGGAGAGGAATGTCTGAAGAGGTAAGACTATATTTGGATGGATTTTGATAAAACCACTATGGCTTGAAAAAGTAGCAGTATGTCAAGTTTGGAGTGTTAAGTGTTCCTTTTATATAAACCAGCTAAGCCACTGCCCTTGTAACCGACATAAGGCAAGAATGCCACAGTTTATTACCACTACATTCCATGCCAACTTAGTCAGTCTGTTTTGAATTATGTTACAATAACTTTTTAGAACTTTTTTTTTCAGTTTTGTAGTTTATCTGTCTGACTTTCTGGTTGTTTATTATCTCATAAGTGTGTCCTATTTGAAGAAGTGTGTAAGAGGCTAAGATTTAATATTTAAATGTCATGGTTCATCACATTTTCTCACAATTTATAGTTAGTGGCGTGGCTGGTCAATAGTTATTAATTTCTTATTTTTCTATGTCTAATAATTGTGACAGTGTGACTCTTTGAAAAGTATTTGGCTTATCACTGTCCCTGGTGCTGAATTTGCAGTAAGACTTATCTTTATGTGCTGTTTATATGACAAAAGCTAGCTTTGTGGTGTAGTTGCAGCAGGGTTATGTTAATTGTAAAGTTGTGTTCCAACTCCATAAGACAGTGCTTCTAAATCATGTTAAGCATTTGCTTTAATGGGACACTGTGTTTTAGTGTCTAATTAAAATCTGTCTTCAGACTGTATATTTTAGTTGAAGCAACTATACATATGAGTTATAACGTCATACGCAACAGATGTACAATATCTAAAGAAGCAGAAAAAGGGCTGGACATTTGAAAGTGTTATTAAATTTAGTTATTAATATGAATCTATAACACAGCCTTTATTTTTTTTAATGATTTTAAGTAGTTTGGGGATTTATTAGTATTTTTTAAATATTGTTTTTTCTTTCTTTTTTTTGTTTTTCACAACTTTTAAGAGGTTAGAATGTTTTGTGACTAAAATGTAAACAAGGATAGGCTACATATTATATTTGTATTGTAACAGAAGCTCGCATGGGGGCGCTGCTTGTAAAATTGTAGCAGCGTAGAACCTCAGTCAGTACTTTGGATCTTTTGCGGTAGGTGAAGATTTTTCTTTAGGGCCACAAATCCGCCATTCTTCATCAGTTCGTAGACTCCGTTTTTTTTTTTTTTTTTTTATATATATATATCTTATTCTTTTATAATACATTCGTGTTTGATGGGTTGAATTTTTCTAGTTCTTGATTAGATTTTTTTAAATATATTTTTTATTTAATTATTTTAAAATTCGCCATGGCACAAAGAGGATGCAATGCGTGGTTTGAGCATCGGCTCATCTTTATTTTTTGTTTGGGTTTCACTTTTGATTTTTCTTCGGGGCAGCTGAGATACTCGTTACCAGAAGAAATAACAACGGGTGCTGTTGTTGGAAATATTGCTAAAGATCTGGGGATGGATCCAAGTGTTTTAAAGGCCAGAGATTTTCGCATTGTCTCTGGATCGAGTGATTCGCTTTTCCAGCTTAACAATAACGGAGTCCTTCTCGTCAGCCAAAAAATAGATCGAGAGGAGGTGTGCAACCGGGTCGCCACCTGTATTATGAACATAAAGACTGTGCTGGAGGACCCTTTAGAGGTACATTATGTCACCATCGAGGTATTAGACGTGAATGACCATTCTCCCACCTTCCCCGATAACGAAACACATTTAGAAATATGGGAATCGGCTTTGTCCGGGGCTCGGTTCCAGCTGCAAGGCGCACTGGATCCAGATAGCGGTTTGTTCTCTGTTCAACAGTACAGGCTGAGTCAAAACGATCATTTTCGTTTAGAAGTTAAAGACAGGGGACATGATGGTAAAATCCCTGTTTTGTATCTCCATAAACCGCTGGACAGAGAAGCTACAAGAAGCCATAGATTGCTGCTCACGGCGGTTGATGGAGGAAAACCTGCCCGATCAGGAACGATGGGAATAGTTATAAATGTTTTAGATGTAAACGACAACATGCCAGTATTTGCTAGGGAATCATATACTGCGGAGCTTAATTGATGTCACTGCATCTGATAAAGGATCAGTCCCCCTGTCCACTGAAAAAAGTGTTATAATAGTTGTTGTAGATCAGAATGATAATGCACCTGAAATAGAAGTGACATCCTTATCAAGTGCAATACCTGAAGACTCCAAACCTGGAAGGACAGTAGCTCTGATAAGTGTTAGTGATGAGGATTCAGGTTATAAATGGGAAGATTATATGTTCTATAACCGATGATGTACCTTTTACACTAAAACCCTCCCTGCAAGAAAACATGTTTTCAATTGTTACAAAATCTCTGCTTGATAGAGAACTTAAGTCAAAATATGAAGTAACAATATTTGCAAGAGATGCTGGTGAACCACCTCTGACAGCTCAAAAGACAATAAGTGTAACAATATCTGATGTGAATGACAATAGTCCAGAGTTTTCAACAAGCCCATATACTTTTTATGTTAGTGAAAATAATGCTGCTGGAGCCCTATTATTTTCAGTGACTGCTGTTGATTATGATGAGGGGGACAATGCCCTCATATCATACACTATACAAAGAAGGGGCGGTGAACACAACAAGATGATATCATTTCTCAGTATAAACTCTGAAACTGGAGACGTTGTGGCACTGAAAAGCTTTGACTTTGAAACCCTGAAAACGTTCCAGTTTCATGTTATTGCATCTGATTCTGGGACTCCATCACTGAGCAGCAATGTTACAGTAAATGTTTTCATTCTGGATCAGAATGACAACCCTCCTGTCATCCTGTATCCAGTCAGCTCCAACGGTTCTGCTGAAGGTGTAGAGGAGATTCCCCGCAATGTGAACGCAGGACACTTGGTGACTAAAGTTCAGAGGCCTATGATGCTGATATGGTTATAACGGTTGGCGGCTGTTTTTCACTGCAAGAAGTTACTGACCAAGTCTGTTTGGTTTTGGACGCTACACAGGACAGATCCGAACAACTTCGCTCATTCACAGAGACAGATGAAGCTGAACATAAACTGGTCACACTGGTCAAAGACAATGGCAACCTTTCCCTCTCAGCAACAGCTACTGTGATTGTGAAACTTGTGGAGCCAAAAGAAGCTTTTGCCTCTTTTGATGTGAAAAGCACAGCAAAGGACAATGAAGATAATGATGTGACATTTTATCTGATGATCACCCTGGGTGGAGTTTCAGTGTTATTTATCATCACTATAATTGTTCTTATTACAATGCATTTTACCAAATCTACAGACTCTACTTCTAAATATCTTCAAGAGACTAACTATGATGGGACACTGTGTCACAGCATTCAGTACAGATCAGGAGACAAACGATACATGTTGGTCGGACCCAGGATGAGCATAGGATCCACTATAGTACCTGGAAGTCATGCAAACACACTGGTCCTACCTGACAGGAGAGGAATGTCTGAAGAGGTAAGACTATATTTGGATGGATTTTGATAAAACCACTATGGCTTGAAAAAGTAGCAGTATGTCAAGTTTGGAGTGTTAAGTGTTCCTTTTATATAAACCAGCTAAGCCACTGCCCTTGTAACCGACATAAGGCAAGAATGCCACAGTTTAGTACCACTACATTCCATGCCAACTTAGTCAGTCTGTTTTGAATTATGTTACAATAACTTTTTAGAACTTTTTTTTCAGTTTTGTAGTTTCTCTGTCTGACTTTCTGGTTGTTTATTATCTCATAAGTGTGTCCTATTTGAAGAAGTGTGTAAGAGGCTAAGATTTAATATTTAAATGTCATGGTTCATCACATTTTCTCACAATTTATAGTTAGTGGCGTGGCTGGTCAATAGTTATTAATTTCTTATTTTTCTATGTCTAATAATTGTGACAGTGTGACTCTTTGAAAAGTATTTGGCTTATCACTGTCCCTGGTGCTGAATTTGCAGTAAGACTTATCTTTATGTGCTGTTTATATGACAAAAGCTAGCTTTGTGGTGTAGTTGCAGCAGGGTTATGTTAATTGTAAAGTTGTGTTCCAACTCCATAAGACAGTGCTTCTAAATCATGTTAAGCATTTGCTTTAATGGGACACTGTGTTTTAGTGTCTAATTAAAATCTGTCTTCAGACTGTATATTTTAGTTGAAGCAACTATACATATGAGTTATACCATCATACGCAACAGATGTACAATATCTAAAGAAGCAGAAAAAGGGCTGGACATTTGAAAGTGTTATTAAATTTAGTTATTAATATGAATCTATAACACAGCCTTTATTTTTTTTTATGATTTTAAGTAGTTTGGGGATTTATTAGTATTTTTTAAATATTGTTTTTTCTTTCTTTTTTTTGTTTTTCACAACTTTTAAGAGGTTAGAATGTTTTGTGACTAAAATGTAAACAAGGATAGGCTACATATTATATTTGTATTGTAACAGAAGCTCGCATGGGGGCGCTGCTTGTAAAATTGTAGCAGCGTAGAACCTCAGTCAGTACTTTGGATCTTTTGCGGTAGGTGAAGATTTTTCTTTAGGGCCACAAATCCGCCATTCTTCATCAGTTCGTAGACTCCGTTTTTTTTTTTTTTTTTTTTTATATATATATATCTTATTCTTTTATAATACATTCGTGTTTGATGGGTTGAATTTTTCTAGTTCTTGATTAGATTTTTTTTAATATATTTTTTTTATTTAATTATTTTAAAATTCGTCATGGCACAAAGAGGATGCAATGCGTGGTTTGAGCATCGGCTCATTTTTATTTTTTGTTTGGGTTTCACTTTTGATTTTTCTTCGGGGCAGCTGAGATACTCGTTACCAGAAGAAATAACAACGGGTGCTGTTGTTGGAAATATTGCTAAAGATCTGGGGATGGATCCAAGTGTTTTAAAGGCCAGAGATTTTCGCATTGTCTCTGGATCGAGTGATTCGCTTTTCCAGCTCAACAATAACGGAGTCCTTCTGGTCAGGCAAAAAATAGACCGAGAGGAGGTGTGCAACCGGGTCGCCACCTGTATTATGAACATAAAGACTGTGCTGGAGGACCCTTTAGAGGTACATTATGTCACCATCGAGGTATTAGACGTGAATGACCATTCTCCCACCTTCCCCGATAACGAAACACATTTAGAAATATGGGAATCGGCTTTGTCCGGGGCTCGGTTC